TAAATGTAAAAACTGCTCAATCTGTGGAATAATATGATAATAAATGTGTTGTTGTAATAATAAGGACATCAAATATAATCTTTATCCGGATCGACCAAAATGCTTTTACTCATACACTCCAACTGTAAGAAGCCCGATCTATTCATTGGGTATTCCCCAAATCTCGAGAACCTATTTGTCTAATATTTAATACGAATAGTCGGCTAATGTGACAGATGCAGCCGGCTTTATAGACGCTCCACGCAAAAAATAATATTTGCTGCCCTTTATTACAAATATAACATTAGTCATTACCCTATTATTCCATACACTGGCCAATTTTTACCTTTATAAAGACAAGCTGTGAAATTTAATTTTTATCAGTCAGTCTTTTCAGTATATCTAAAATATAATTCGTCACAGTTGACTGTAGGCTATTTTTTATTAACTTTTGGAATTACCATCCATTCTCACCGCTCTGACTGACGATATTTGACCGATTGCTTACCGTTTCTCAAAACAAGCAGATGCTCGGAAAATCATACATATATGGGCACGTGTGTTCGCCATTTGACGAATGCTCCACAATTGTACTCGGCGTGCTCGTTATTCGGCAAGTCCCGAGCACCTATTCGTCGAACACCCTACCTTCATAGAAAGAGACTGACAAGAAAATTTTAATTTTTATGAAGAATTTCACTCAAAAATATAAAGAACACTTCCTACTGAACTGCAAAACAATGTGTATGTTTGTGTGTATATGGATGGACTTGTATGCCCATCAAAGCAAACATTCGCAAAATGACGAATGCCGAATGTGTGGATCCAGCCTTTAGATCAATTGCAATTAAAAACTCACCCCTTCGATTTAAATATTGACTATTTATATGTAAATACCGACTGAATAATGGCCCATAGGTCTACATTCTAGACCACACCTTAGTATTCGGGAGGACACAATTCGATTCCTGGTCCATCTGCCCAAGCCCGAATTTTTCTGAGGTTTCATTGGATCATGTAACACTAATATTCCACAGAGAAAATCTTTCACTATCTTTTGACTTTACTTTGTCTGTTTCACCTTTCTCACCCCAACCATTTCCACTATTCCTACAACGAGGCTAAAGAGGACGCCGGAGTAACTACCAGCATTCGTAGTTATTGGGAATGAAACACCCAAAGTTTTAAAGTTTTTTTACTACCAAAGGATAATGTCCATATGAATATCAATACCATTTAAATACTGACCAGAAGAGACTGATCAGTAAAATACACGCCATTTATAAACATCACGTTTTTCAATATTAAGAGTGTTACTATTTACCTATCCAGAACATATTCCTTTCTTTATCATTGCATTTTTAATGTTATTGTAGGTAAGTAGCAAAACAAAAACCAAAAAGTTTTCACCGGTTGGGGTTCACATTTACGATTAGTGATCTTTACTCACTTTTATACGATTTGCAAACAAAACATTTTGGACTTTTTAATGAAGTAAAATGTAAAGAAACCTATTAGGTTCTTTTACTGAATTATCATTGGTGATAAACAGTGCCACATTCCCAGAGTGACTACAGGATATAATTTACTATTAACATTATCTAGTCAAACGTCTTCAAAAGGGAGCTACTAGGTATGTAATAATTACTATTAATCATAACAAGATTTAAGATTAAAAGATGTCTTGTATTTAAGATAATATTAGGAAATTGTCGTGAATTCCAAATTATTACCAAAATGGCAGACAGAAATCCATGCGACAGAATTAATAAATTGCTATTCGCAAATACCTAAATTTAAATTTTTAACATTAATCTTTTATACGATAGCTAAGCGATCAAATTATGTAATCTAATTATAATTCGACATTCAATTATTTCATCAAATACGCAAATTGTATATAAAGGTAAATAAAATGTCATTATAATTATATATATTTAACTAGCTAATTTATGAAAGAAAAAAAAGAAAGATTTGCTTATCCCAATATTTTAAATTTATCTGTTTCGTCTTCTACTGAATCGATGAGTCTTGTATGTACGTACTCTATATTTTATTATAATATACCTAGGTACAATACATAGAAAACATGTATATTTTGAACGCAAAATAATGAACGACTATGGATAAGATGAAGGGTCTCGAAATGTATTAAACTAGGTCAACATGTTGCATGGTAAGTAGAATATTATTACAAGAATAACAGCAATTTTTACTAGTTTGTTACAAGATGAACTTTCGTTCTACTTTTACTATAATAGGAATAAGCCGAACTGCCTATTTCACTGTGGGTAGTTTTGCACATTTTGAAGATATATGTATAGTAAGATGTCAATCTTATGATTTGAACCCTGCCTGGATATACAGCGAGGGGTTCTATTTGTCTTCAAATACGAGCAAATGATCGATTTGAATGGAATGGAAATCTTAAATTTTCTTTCTCTATTTTTAATTGTGTATGCAAGATGATTATTTAAATAAACATTTATATATAAATGATTTTGATTAAAGATTTCATTTAGCATGTTTCATATCTACAAAATGCAACATAAATATGTGAATACTAAGGGCGTAGTCATTCTCTGCTATACCTAAGTATACACAAAACAAGAAATGTTTCTAATTTGTTTATGACAAAAGTAATATTCAACATTGCCTTGATGCGTTTTTAACCTTACCCGTATTTTACTACACATGTTTCATTTACATTAAAAAGTAATTTCACTTGCAAATATAGATCTAAGCAATCATGCAATCTAAGTGCCTACTATTCAATTGTTGCTGCCGTGCATACGTTAAATGTAATAATACTTTATTGTACGTAAATATGCTGCATAAAAAGTATAACCGATAATCAAGGACTTTCTTATTAGAAGAAGTTGCTTCGTTGCTTACTTATCAGTGAGCCCTTTACGAATGAAGCAATGAATGGGAACACTCCCTTTTATCATTTCATGAAACAAAACATCGCACGGATTTATATTTATAGGTACACACAACAGATCTACCCCTTTCACTTTCGTTTTTATTACGAATGCGAGAAACGTACTTGAGTCACAAGAAAATGATTCATTAGGGTGATAAAAGAGCAGATATGACTCTTTAAAATGAATGATAACCTATAAGATGAAATAACATCACAGAAATTTTCTTATTCGTAATGAGTACGCACCATGTACTTATTTAATAAATAACAATAATAATTTTACGCACCTTGTAAACGTTTAAATATCCGTGTAAAGCTTCTACCACAAACATCCACCCACACAAAACAAGCTTCGCACTCAAACTAATCGGCGGCCAAGATGGCGTTTCTGTCAACAAGAAACGTGATCACGTGACTGTTGTGTTCCACCTAACGACCAATCACAGATAAGATTTTGATTACAAATTGATTTCAATTTTTGGAATTATAGCGCCAAATGAATTAAGAGAATCAAAGTTATGCATAAATAATCAAAAGCAGCAATTACCTATAATGCTAATCATAATGCTTTTTTACGGTTATTTTTCAAAAAAGAAAATAATTTATTCGAAATGGCAATTTTAATTTATTATTTCATAAATGCTCTTATTTAAAAAACAGTTTAATAAGGACGTTTCTAACTATATTCACGTTAGACTTATCTAGAATCTTAAGATTAGGCAAAACTATCATTCGAACTATCTAAAGTTTTGATTTTGAATGAATTAGTTATGTACCATCAAAATTCCGTTTGTACTTTGTTAAAGTATTGTCTAGGTACATATTTTTAATTCAACAGGAAAATTTCTGATTATATAGGGTATTATATTCACCAGGAAAAGAAAAGAAATTGTTTTACAGTAGTTATCGAGGATATGGAATTCAAATAATATCTACTGTTGAGGAAGTTATTGTGGAGTCTTTGAGCATATTCATTGAAAAATGCTTCTCACAATGAAACACAATATTTCTCCACCCTAATCAGTCAATTTATGTACCTAATAATTTATTACACACATTTTTCATTTCTGATTCAGTTTGTCATGAGTACCTTTTACAGTTTAAGTGTACCCAGTTCCTATGAGGCCAAACTAATGTGGGCAAAATTAGTTATTAATTTTCATATTGAAAAACTTAACATTTTCTCAATATTATCACGCAAATGTCATATTTTTCCAAGCAGGGTCTCTTAAGATTTTGTGTTCTAGCAATCTTCTGCTTATGTCAGCCTTTCGTGTTGGATCTGTTTTGAACAAATCCTCCTTTGCATATAATATTTTGGGCTTATAAATAAGATAACCAAAGTCCAAAACAAATCGAGTTAAATATTTGAATCAGTCCAGAAGAATATTCTAAACAATATTTAAGAGTTACGCCCCTTTAAATTTTCCTAAAAAATTTATAGGAGCTTGAAATGAAGTCACCTAGAAGAAAATTGCACCGAAGGTTTTTATTCTTTGTTAAGTTTTCTAAAAGACACATTTTTAATTTTTCTATTATAAATCAGCGACAAAAAACCGTGCCTGCAATTCAACGTGCTGGCAAGTACAGAAATTTGTTATTTTTTTATAAGTGTTTGAGATGATGATAGGCGGATGATGAAAATACTGTAAATAGAAAAGGTTAGAAAAGAGAAAAACAGAGGGCGCTATGCAAATGAATAAGGGAATGGCTGGTGGATAGTTAAAACCATATTAAAAGAAAAACAGTAGCAGTTTGGTTCACAATCAGACTAACGATCTTGCACTGATGATTGTAGATCTTTATTAACCAACAAACCGCAAAGAAGCTATTTAATGACCAACACTAAAGTTGCGAGATTGACTTCTACAAACACATACCTTGCTAGATAAATTCACCAAATTATTTATGTATTAAAAAAACAAATCCAACAGAGGAAACAACAAAATAAATATGGAATGAGTTTTAATTTCACTTGAAATAAATACATTATTTTAAAACTTAAAACTGTAGTAAACATAAATTAAAACAAAAAAATAATATTTTCCTTAATCAACAACAAATTGAAAATAAAATTTCCATCTCTATCTACTTNCTAAAGGTATTTAACATATACAATGTTTTTCATAAAATAATTTCGAATTTATCATACACGGACATAAATAACAAGGTACCGATTGTAACTTGTCAAAAATTTAATGCACTTTGTTCTCTTAAATTGACCAATGAATTCGTTATGCAATTCGATGATTATATGGACATTTGAGACTGACTCGATGGAACGGTGTGCATAGAATTAGTTGAAGCCTGAAATAATTAATAGAAAATTAATTATCAGTTTGTTGCACAGATAAAATTTATCGGTAAATAAAAAAACGCACGCTAACAAACGTAAAACTGCTTTATACTGAGGCCAAACTTAAAAAGAATAGATAATGCTGAACGAAATTTTGAAAAAATGTATTATATTCCGACATATATTTATAATATATCAATTTTTACTAACTTCAGACTCTCACACTTTTTTCAACTATCTATCCCCCCCTTTCAATAAAAATGAGAAAAATCTGAAGCCTTCCTCTACATCATGTATTGAATTCAATAATCAAAAGAAAAATATAAATAAACGAGTAAGTTTAAAAATAATGTTACAATTATTAATACACTTTAATATTTAAACACTGAGCAAAAAAATAAAAATTTTACTGCCTTCTTCTGTTTTACTATTAATATAAAGTTCTTTTATCACAGAAAGCCTTTTTTGTAAATCATTTTAATCCTCATAAACATGATAAACTTACCCACACGGGCCTAACGGCAAACACCTCATTGGAATGACAGATCCGTTTTTTCTCCCTTGGGACTGTTCCATCGATGATTCCTTTTCTTTCTTCTGCTACCCCATTTATCCTATGTAGACTTAAAACAGGCGATCTGTCCGTTCGTGTTGCCTTAATATCTACATTTCCCGATGAATTGATAAATATACTTGTAGTATATACAGGTCCCTTCACCTCCTCGACAACGTCTTCTTCAATTTCAATATCTTCTTTCATACCATTAATGGATAGTGTAACAGGACCATTCTTTTGTTCGAGATCGTTTTTCACGTCCTTCAAGGTTTCTTCAGCAGAAATTTCTTCAGTAGCAACATCAATCAGTTCTTGAGACGCCACTTCACAATTTTTCGGCTTTGTTTCCACAGAGGTTTGTTTATTATTAATATTATTATTATTATTGGCAACTTTTATGGTCTTTGGCGGTACGTAATTGAATTTAGGCATTCTGGTGACCCAGTGGTCACCGCTAGAACATACAGAACTGGAACTGGCTGCGCTACTTGAACTAGAACCCACGTACACTCCGCTCCTCTTTTGGTAAAATAAAATATACGCGCTACTATTCACTAGAACAGACCCGATATCATTAGTTTGCTGGCTCAAATTCGTTACTTTGGTGTCATCGTAGAGATACCAATGACCATCGTAGGGATTCCTGCAGGCCGCTGTGTAATGACCTGTTTCTAAATCCGAACCATGATGGTAACATACAGCGTACAGATCGTAGGTATTGTCATTTTCAGATGGAGGAGGAGCTGTCCGATGTTGTGGCGGTGAACGTTTCCAAGTTGAATTGTTTTGGTGCATAATTAGATGAGCCGAGTCGGGAAGATCGTTTGAAATGGTGGTCGTGTTTTTTTTGTTGGCTAAATGGGGCGACATGTCGAAACCGAACACAGGGAAATCGACCATAGTTGTCAGCTTAGTACTTTGACAGCCTTTAAGAGTTTGTCTAGAAAATAATAAATGTTAGAATAAGAAACACGAACTCTGTTGCTCTGTAGAAAAATAGAATAGAAAAAACTTGATTTGAAAAACAGAAAGTATTAAGTGATGCTTTTCTCTTTTACTAAAAATAGTTCAATATAAAAGCGAGATAATAATAAACTAGAATCAGTTTACTTACTGCCTGAAACGTTTGAAATGAACCACAAGAATATCAGGCAAAGACCATACATCAAGGGTTTTTACTACTGGTAAGTACTGCTGACAATGAGGACATCTCCAAGCATCGTCCATTGTCAAGGTTTCTGCCTTGGTGTAATGTCTTAGGCACTCTTCTAAAGTCAAGGGAGCTCCACCTGTAGAATAACATACCTTTTTTTAGGCTTTACAGAAAAGACACATTTCGGTACTGAAGTTCTAGTAAAAACTATTATTATTTCTTTTATTCGTTCGATAAACTGTTTACCTTGAAGGGCTTGGGCTTTCAATTCTCTAACACTTGAATGCTCTTCCACGTAATCGCAATCATCTGCAATAATTGCGGTCTTGGTTTCTGGTGTCCATTCGAGCACTAATTTTACGTGGGCGGGTCCTTCATCTTCGCCGCAAAGGGCTAAGGCTTGGTCAATTGCTTCCATAAAGAGCGGATGTTGCAACTCTGGTTCCAAATAGCACGGAGGTTCGTTATCATCACATGCCGGATCGGAAATTTTCATTTTGAATATCTAATAAAAGAAAAAAAAATCAAATTGAAGATACATTTTGAATATCATTACAAACATCAACAACTCTATCTACTTACACTATTTTACGATCTTTTTATATAATTTCAGGACTTTTATAAGAGACAGATAAATATTTTGTGTCATTTACCAATCTAATACAAAAGAAATGACATAAGCATTGTATTTCGAGAACATCCAAGGAAAGTCCTTTACGAAATTCTAAGATATATTTATCTTTTTAGTTGCTCCATTTTATACATAAACACCAAGTAATGGGTATTTCAAATTGAATGTAATAAATCAATCAGAGCGCAGTCTCTTTGATGTAAGCACAAAAAGAGAATTTGCCGTTGGTGCCTTAATTAAAACGTAATCTGATTAATTAACAATTGCAATATTTCAATCGTTAATTACTTGGTAAATGTTAAACTAAGTAGAATAATGAGTTTTGAATATACATTAAACCTTAAAGCGATCCATAAGAGACTACAGTAGATATTTGACTAAATCTTCGCTTATAGAAACGAATGCCAATAAGCCTTAAAAATCAATAAGGAATTTGAAGATTATTCTGCACTGTTATGTACAGTATCCTTAGATAGAGCTTTAGACGCTTTAAATTTAGTAACCACCAGGGGTAGAATGACATTAACATTACTAACCTGATGGTTATAAAAAAATTAATTTGAGAAAAAAATTTTCATACATAAAAAAATCTTCAGAAACAAACACTTGACATATTTGATAAAAAAGTTTCGCTACTGTTTTGCTGTATTTGTAAGTTGCAGTGTTTTATACATATTTGTATGCATTATAAATACATACAATAAAAACATAAATTTAGTTTATATTAAAATATTAATTTTATTCAGTCATCCATACTGCTATATCTGTGGGAGTATGGTACTATAAGGACTTAATAAACAAATGCATAATTTTACCCTGACTTACCCCACAAGGTTGAGATGATGTTAGGACGTCATCGTGCAATATGGAGGCCATCTCTTTTAGAACAAGCTTTTGTAAATCTTCATATGAAGTTTCTCTACTAATCTGCATAGTATATGGACTACCTGTGAATGAACTCCAGTCATAAGTTTTTATTTAAATTTATTATATTTGGAAAAGCGCAACATTAGTAATACAAAAGCATATTTTTTATCGCAGAATATAAAATATTGAAAACCAGCATTACTCTTGAATGGGTGTATTTCTCATTGATAATATTATCAACATATACCTATAAATAAATTAAGCAGCATGTCTGTTACTTATCTAATTATCTAAACGCCATGGATTTTTTTAATTTGAAAGCATTCCTAAAATTATTTATAACTTACTATAAAGGAGGAGGTGATAAGATATATATAAACTGTCAAGTGACAAAATGACAGACAAGAGAAAAGTGGTTTTATGAAGACTAATTGCAAACTTTTCAAATATTCATACAAGTTTTTGATCTAAAGGTATTTCACATAATGAAGTTACAGAAAATGAACAAATGTAATGACAGTACACAATAATCCTGCACGACTGTTAAGCCCAAATAGTTAACGCCGAGTGTGAAGGCTTTAGTTAGCATTTTTATTAGTTTAAAACATTTCCATTTTTATTTTAATTTTTTTTTACACCCTAGATATATAAGTTCGTATGATATCGCTCTTTACGAGGAGACTGACAAAGAATGGGTTTAAAAATTATGAAAATCATGTAATGCATGAGATGAACTTTACGGCCTCTAATAGGTATGAATATGAAGAAGAGGGGGGGATGTAATCAGTATATTGCTCCGGAATCATAGATCTCAAAACGGGTCCACGAAAAGGATATTTTTAACAGGCTGTGTGGCGTTGTGGGACACCCAATAGAAACGAAGTTTCTAACATTATCCAACACATCTTGCACTTGGAAGGTTAAGAAAAATGCTTACTGGTTATTTTGTCTAGGGGATTGTAAAAATTGTGTGCATCCTGATTTCACATGAGTAAAGTTATAAGAGTAAAGGTTGAACATATTTTTAATTTTTTAACAATAACCTTTCCTAATTGCTATCAATTGTTCTGTTGTTGTTTAGAGTGGAAAAAAACTCTCGATCGGTAGATGTTTACGACATGTCCTAAATTATTTTTAAAGTATGTTGCCAGTAAATTTCAGTCTAGCGTAGAATAATGAAAATGATCCTTGAACTTAAAAACAGTTTACGAGTAACCTCTAAGTCTGCCAAAACTTTTCGGAAATTTACATTGGTCTAAATTATATTCGAACTTGGCACGCTGCACAGTAAAACTGTATTTTGTACACTGAAACCGTTGTATTTTAGATGAAAAAAGAGTAGCACACAGAAAAACGTCTTTCTGAAGCCAATAACAGTAACAATTGGAATTTATGAACATACATAAACAAACTCGAAAACCTTCACAAAATTTTCTTATTCGTTTATACTAAAAGAAAGCAAACAACGTTGAATGCAGTTAATAATTGAGTAAAAAATGAAGCATTAAACGGAGAAAAATATTGTGCAATAAACAAACAATAAAACGCAAGACAAACAAAAATATTCAATATCAAAAGATCTACTAATTATGGTTTTTGAATAATTTTCTATTTTCTATTACGATATTCCAGTAGCTTGGTACGGAGCCCTATTCATATGAGTTGAATTAGCATTTCGTCGGTTTTCATTTACAACTTTTACCTTAATAAATAAAGGAGTTTGTCTAGAATTTCTGACTGACAGGCGAAAGTATTGGGTCCGTTTGAACGATAACAACGAACGAAAACAGTATTCGAAAGGGGTGAAACAGAGATTGTATAAGATTGAAAAAAAGCAAAACATTCCTTAAAAAACGCGATCATACACTGAGGTGTCATTTGAAAGATACCGAAATTCTTTTCGATTATTTATCAAAATTATAGTTCTTCATGAATTATACATACATATATGTATATTATTCCATATACTGCTGGCGAATTTTTGATCTTATATAAATGAGTAGCTACGTTTTACGCATAACTTACCAAATCTTTCACATGAGTCTTCTCGCACCACCACATTGATCCAACATAAGAGGATGTATGCACTTGTGGCATCATCTTCGATGTCTTTTAGTTGAGCTACTTCTATACAATAAACGGGATCGATTTCTGATATAACGCTAATTGGTTGCGAATTCGTGAATGTTCTCATAAAACCACTACTACCTATTTCGGTTAGTAACATATTTTTCTTATTTATCGACGTGTCGGATTCCAAAATATCACGTAGTTCAATCACAGTCGCTCCGGAAGGCAAACTTAGACCGATACGGACTTGGCGAGGCTGTTGTGAAGTGTACAGTACCTAAAAGAAAGTTGAAGAGAGTTAATATAATTTGATGCATTCTTTGATAAAATCTTTAACTGAACAGATTTAACTAAGTGACTTTAGTAGTTTAGAGAACCTTCATCCAGTACCAAAATCTCATGTATGTATTTTTCAGGTGCATTCTTCATTCCCCTGCACTCCAGATCTGACGTTACAGCTATCAGTTGTTGTTTTTGACAGTTGCTATCGCTGTCCATCTTTTAGGGCTTCGCCACTTGTCCCAGATGCTCTGCTCCTGCTGTTGGTGTTTTGACCCTTACGGTCTTCTTCATCTGTAGCTTCTTGCTCTTCACGTTCATCATCCGTAGACACCTCAACCGTTGTCCCTTAACAGGTGGTTGACAATGACAGCTACCAAAGACAACAACTGACAGCCGCAACGTGAGAACAGGAGTGCAGAGGGCAAAATTGAACACAAAAAGGACGAGAATAAATATTCATAAGAAAATAAATGGGAAACTGATACTGGATCCTTAAACTTACTAAAGTCAATTAGATAATGTTATTTGAATCTGTTGAGTTAAAAATTTCACTCAAAGAAAGCATTAAATTATATTATCCCTCACTGATTCTAAATGCACGTATTTATTTCAAACACCCATATTAATTAAGTCACGCCTCCATGTTAATCCCCAATATCGCCATCTACTGATATTTAGGTGTTGCTAACTGCGTAAATTTCAATCAATTAGCTATTGACCAAGAACAATGATCTTTATTAATTTAGCTTACTTGACACGTTGCCTATCACATATACAATAAGCTGCACCCTAGATTTAGCTATCTTCGTAAAGGGGAGCGCCCATCAAAGAAGTGTAGCATTAAAACATAGCAGAAGCGTGATTCTGGCATGACAGCGACGTGGCATAACTTTTTTCAAAGCACACAGGTAGATTCAGTAAATTTACTCAATATGAATGAAAACCGTCCAAATGGAAGACACTGAATACATCATAAGGAATAAGGTCATCAGTCTTAAGATTAGTTAGATATTCTCCTTCACTTTTTCCTATCCTGAGCTAATCTTCGCATTTACCTAAATTTAGAACATCGCCACATTTGCCTCAATCATTGAAAAAAAAAACGAATATTGAAATTTGGATCATCTTTCATTTTTGGTTAATCAACAACAAAGTGAAGTAACACTTAAGAGGCGTGACAAAAAAATAGAGCAAGTTTTACTTCAATTGCAATGGCATGACGTGCTACAAGCTACAACTGGCATGTTACTTGCTACGTTCGTTCTGTAAGCGCTGATTCATTTGCTAGCATCGGTTCAATTTGAAATAGCATTCTAGAAGTACGTCACCTACTAGATCACGCGCCAGATCATACGCCATATCATTTAGGTGGGCGCTCCGCTTTAGGCCTTGGTCAAACATTTGAAACACTACGCTTACCAGCAAATATCAGTAGATGGCGACTACTGACTTTAATTTGATTTAACAAACATGACGAGCACTTAAACCTACTGGACTTGCTCTTTTTGTACCACTGGCTCTTGGTACGCACTACTTAAACTTATATTTTCAATAGAATTAATTAACAAACAACTTACAGTGACATAAATGGATTGATGATCAATTTGAGGCAGTTGAACCGAAATACACTGGAAGGGGTCGAACGTGTTTGATTGCGTTCGGCATCGTGAGCAGCTTAACGAAGATCGATACTGGGCCTGGAATACAGCCTGTATAAAGGAATTATTACCCCTATTGTAATTGGCCAAAGTTTCTGCTGCAATTATTTCATCCGATTTTCCTCCTCCCGAAACCTGTAAAAAGGAAATAAAAATTGTTTAAGTGCAAGTCAACATTTTTCAAACAACATTCAAATCACTTTATATTATAATTTATACAAATTATGTACTCAAGGGGGTAACAACATTCTTATCTAGATATTACATAGGAAGAAGGGGACTAAAAGGGCGGATTCAATCAAAATAAATAGCATTATCAATCGTAAACATCTTGGAACCTCTCTAAAACAAATATCGGTCTCTGTGTCAGGTTTCAAGAACATTGTGAAGATTTATTAAGAAAATTGGGATTTTCTTTGTCTCTAAGCTAGGAGATGGAGCAGTTCCGCACTGTTGCATCCTGAATCTGGACAATGTATAAAACCAGATCATCAAAATGTATTCAGAGACAATGATTTCAGCACCCTCTTACTGACCAATCAAGCACGTTATTTTTAGTATATGACCAAAGGACTTTCATGTTGTAATAGTTGCAACAGTTGGAATGGTATTTACAAATAGTAACACCATTTGGTCTAAATTTAAAAGAATCCACAATTGAACGGTATGCTACAGGGGCTTTGCAAAATTTCCCCTCGTCAGTGCCATGTTTTTTTGGCTCCTCCCATTTGAGGAAATCGAATAATATGCGCGGAGATGTGATATTTTATTTTTTAAGCAAAATTGATGCTGTTCTTTATCTTACGAAGATAAAATTAAATGGAAAGAATTTTGTACCTATTTGGAACAGTTCGAACTCCTTAGTTTTGCTTTTAATTTATTTCGAATTTATTAAAACTTAAACTTGACAAAATACACATGATTAATATTCACCCAGCACCCACAATTAATGAGATAAAGTGCAAGCTGCACATTTCCAAATTATGTGAAGGAGCGTCATATTTATTTCCGGAATTTGGAATTATAGTTTATTTTACTTTGTAGTTATCGCTATCTCTCCAAATATGCATACATATGTACACATTACTTAAAAGGTCAGTTTCATCTACAATAAATAATTTGTGAAATAATGTTATATCACTGATTGTGAGTATCATCTACTAAACAATGTACTATCGGAATAAGTACAAAGTTGAATCATTCTTAGATTGTATCATGCGAAAAAGGAAATCAATTTATCAAAAAACATTTAACAAAATCTTTGTTACGTATAAAAAGGAATCTAATTTTGTTGGTTGTGTAATAATTCTTACATTTGAAGATTCTAATTTTACCAATAAATCAACAATTGTTCAGGAGTGAACTTTTTATTTATTATAGTGCGACGTTTCGAGATAGGTTGGTAGGACACCTTCTCAGACATGAAGGTCTAGTCAGAGACATATTAGAGGCAGAAACAGGAGTTAGGAGGGGTACAGGTAGACCTAGGTTAGATTACTGTTCTCAAAATAAAATGCGAAGATTAGCTCAGCATAGGAAAGAGTGGAGGTACCAGTCTTCGGACTGACGACCTTATGATGATGATGATGCGACGTTTCGACCGCAGTTTCGGTCATAATCAGGCTTAACGAATACCATACTATTCCTATCGTTAATCAATATCTATATTGATATCGATATTGATTGTTGTTCACAGAATACGTTTACGATGTAATAATTATTTTAGTAGACCTGATAGGAACAGTGTGATATTCGTTAAGCCTGATGATGACCGAAACTGACGGTCGAAACATCGCACTGTAATAAATAAAAAGTTCACTCCTGAACTATTGTTGGTTTATTGGCACAATTAAAGTCTTCAAATGTAAAACCTTTGTTAAATTTATTTCTGATTTCACTCCTTACTGATAGTATACAACCCCAAATCTTTTGTATAATAGAATAAGTTTATTGTAAAGTCCAGCTTATTTAATAGAATTATGAAATTCATGAAGTACTTTTTATTTGTGTAAGCATGTGGAAGATACTTAACCGTCTCGACAAGGTAAAATATTAAAAATAATCCCTTCCACAAGGCTGTCGTAGTACGTCATAATCGTTATCAACCCTACCAATATTCTATGTATTCGAATTAGATGCAATAGAATCTGCCTGAGGCCGACTAAATAAAATTTCCTTATGTATCAAGTATAACAGCAGAAAACATCAATCAACAATCCAATAAGTTGGAAATAACAAGGAAAAGAATGCAGAATAGAATGCTTTAAAAACCATTCTATATTTTTAGCTTTCCATTCTAAGGCTTTCACTAACTTCTCCCCTAACAAAACTTGCGTGTCAAAGGTGCATTAAGCTAGGGTTCGGTAGCTTGAGTTTCTACTATCTATATTTATAGCTTAGTTAAAATCGAAAATGCCATTCTTAAATAAATTATAAACGAGAAAGAATTTAACGAGCAAACATATCTACTTTATCATTTATTAATACACTTTAATATTTAAACACTGAGCAAAAAAATAAAAATTTTACTGCCTTCTTCTGTTTTACTATTAATATAAAGTTCTTTTATCACAGAAAGCCTTTTTTGTAAATCATTTTAATCCTCATAAACATGATAAACTTACCCACACGGGCCTAACGGCAAACACCTCATTGGAATGACNCAAGCCACTACTGTCTTGGTATGCTAACATACCACGAATTTTAGACTACAGTAATTAGATGAATGGCCGATGAAGAGATAATTTAGATGGCATTTTTGTACAACGAATTATTATGATGGCAGGATAGAATATAAAAAAAAATACAACGTGTAATTACACAACACGCTACTGAAGTGAAACTTCTACAAACACACAAATATACCGGGATAGGGATTAAGGAATTGATGGTGGTATAGTTGAGATCTAACCCTGCCTAACCTAATTAACGTGGTGGTGACAAAGCTGAAACAGTATTTTTCAAAATCGTCTAGGTATAATGGGCATGATTTTTTATGCAAGCAATTTTTGGGTACTTCGAACAACAGTTGATTATCAAAATGACCAAAATGCCCAAGGACAGTATTTCAGGTGTTGTATTTATCTTATGCGCGCTATTTACCCTTGAAACGAAGGATCAATTGCGCACGTATTATTTATTGTTAAATAGTGCTAGTAATAACTGAAACGACACACAAATGCTTTATTAAACTATTACCTAAACAGTGGGGGACAAGCCTAGTAAACTTAATAAAAATGAAACAAAAACCTACGCGATCATAGCCTGACCTAATCTATCGGAAAGATATTTACTGGTTACCTATAATTTCGTAAAAGAAGAAAAAGTAAAAAAAAAAAACTTTTGGGTGTTTCATTCCCACGAGCCATTAATGCTGGTGGGCGGCCCTCTTCAGCCTCCTTTCCGGAATCGTGAGAATGGGTGGGTGATGGTTCGGGTGAGAATGATGAGACGGACGAAATGAAGACAGAAGAGAATGAAAGATTATCTGTGGAATATTACTGCCTCAGCATTTGCCCAAGTGATTCAAGGAAACCACATAAAAACTTGGACCAAGGCAGACGGACCCGGAATAAAATCGGAGTCCTCCCGAATGCTAAGCAATAGTCTAAACCTCTAGGCCATGCCGCTCGGTGAAAAAGTTCACCAACGGGAATCTAGACCGAATTCGTTTGTAAGAGGCTACAACAGTCACCACTTTACCACTGAATGGGTTGTTTATTTTTATAATAGACTTTAGGAGTTTTTGAAGGAAATCCAATTCACCAAAATATTAAAAAATTAAAAGTATGTGGTAATGCCACAGCGAAAAGTAAAAAAAAGTGAGATTTTTATTTACTTAAGTAGTACAAAACTTATAGATATTTAGCCGCATGTGACTTGATAAAAGTAAAAGCACTTTGTTTTACTTCATTTATTATGTATTACGCTTATTTTACAGTATGCAATTGATCTGTGATTAACTAGTCGCGAACTAATTATAACGTAAATGTATAACTGCCCCATCAGCATTTGCTTAAGTGATCCAAGGAAACCACAGAAAAACTTGGACCAAGGCAGACGGACCCGGAATCAAACCGGCGTCCTCCCGAATGCTAAGCAATAGTCTAAAACTCTAGGCCATGCCGCTCAGTGAAAAAGTTCACCAACGAGAATCTAGACCGAATTCGTTTGTAAGAGACTACAACAGTCACCACTTTACCACTGAAAGGGTTGTTTATTTTTATAATAGACTTTAGGAGTTTTTGAAGGAAATCCAATTCATCAAAATATGAGAATTAAAGAGAATAATGGTGAAAGAAGGTAGATTGTGGAAAACCTTCAGTGATGTAGTGTGCGCTTATTACTTTTAAATGTATGTGGTAATGTCACAGCGAAAAGTAAAAAAAAGTGAGATTTTTATTTACTTAAGTAGTACACAACTTACAGATATTTAGCCGCATGTGACTTGATAAAAGTTCATTTTATATGTATTACGCTTATTTTACAGTATGCAATTGATCTGTGATTAACTAGTCGCGAACTAATTATAACGTAAATGTATAACTGCCCCATCAGCGTTTGCTTAAGTGATCCAAGGAAACCACAGAAAAACTTGGACCAAGGCAGACGGACCCGGAATCAAACCGGCGTCCTCCCGAATGGTAAGCAATGGTCTAAACCTCTAGCCTCCATGTCGCTTTCGGTGAAAAAGTTCACCAACGAGAATCTAGACCGAATTCGTTTGTAAGAGGCTACAAAAGTCACCACTTTACCACTGAACGGGTTGTCTATTTTTATAATAGACTTTAGGATTTTTTGAGGGAAATCCAACTCATCAGAATAAGAGAGTTAAAGAGAATAATGGTAAAAGATTGTGGAAAACCTTCAGTGAAGTAGTGTACGCTTATTAGTTTTAAAAGAATTTGACAATGCCAACAGCGAAAAGTGAAAAAAGTGAAAGATTTTTATTTACTTAAGTAGTACAAAACTTATAAACATTTAGACGTATGTGACTTGATTAAAAAGTAAAAGCATTTTGTTTTACTTCATTTATTATGTATTACGCTTAACTTACAGTATGCAATTGATCTGTGATTAACTAGTCGCGAACTAATTATAACGTAAATGTACCTACCTGAATTTGTAATACATTA